TGAATTTGCATAATACATGCTTTGATTACAGCAAGAAAGGAAAATTTGATGGAGAAATTACATAAATCTTAGCTGAATTTGACTACCAATTTGTGCAGAAATCAAGTGAGGATGAAACCTTGATCTCCAATTGCTTTCTCCCCCTTCGAATTCAGTTTCTTCTTCTCTTGAAGCTGCTTGTTCCTCCTCTCTTCTCCTCTCTTGCGCCTATCTCTCTCTCTTCTTCTCTCTTAGAACAAGAGCTCAAGGAGAGTTTGAAATCAGGTGATGGACCCTTTTTCCCCCTCTAGAGGCCTCCTTATATAGGCTTTCAAGGAAACTCTTGCCTCTTCTTGAAGTCTCTAGAATTGGGTGTATTACACCCCTCATAAATCTTCTAGAGTGCTCCCTCCTTCTCTTCAAGAAACTTCTAGGAGTTGCCGCCCCTAGCTCCCTTTGGGCTGCTATTTGGGCTACAACTTAGCTTGCTTTTGAGCACATGTAGGCTGCACTCTAGGCTATTCTTTGGGCTGAAAATGGGTTGGGCCGAAATTTCCTTCTTGCTAGGCTTCTTCCCTTGGGTTTTCCAAAGAGTTAGCTTGCACTTCTTGGGCCAAATGAAACTCGTTTGCTCTCAAGGCTGGGCTGGGCTGAACTTGATAAAATTTGGGCTTTCTTTTCTTGCTTTTGCCTTCTTTTTTCTTGAGTTAGTTGCCCCTGAAATCTTCATTACAATTAAGTTAAAAATAGGACAAAATTTAATTAAACCGACATAAAACTCCATGCAAAGACCTCATAAAATATAAATAAGTTGTAGTACCAACTCCATCTCCTCCTCAGGGACACATCTTCTTATGATCTGATTTGCACACAATTTATACAAAAAAGGTTCCTCCCACAGATAATATTTTACCTCAGAAAGGAATTTCTTTTTCTGTTGATATGAAAGGTTAGGAGGAAGGACTTGTGCAGCTAGATAATTAGCAAAATCAGCATACCAAGGATATGAGTATTCCTATATTGAGTACAGCTGTTCATCCGAAAATTCTTCTCAAATGTTGCTAGTTATCTCCTCTTTTGAGCTTACCTTGTCCAACCAGGAGAGATGGTCAGCATCCAGGTTTGCAGCACCCTTCATGTCTCTAATCTCAATGTCAAACTCTTGCAACAAAAGGWTCCACCTGATCARTCTTGGTTTTGAGTTTTTCTTGGTAAGCAAGTGCCTTAATGCCGAGTGATCTGTGTAGACAACAACCTTGGACAATATGAGATATGAATGAAACTTGTCAAGTGCAAATATTACTGCTAGCAGCTCTTTTTCTGTAGTGTGGTAATTGTGTTGGGGTTCATTCAAGGTTCTGCTAGCATAGTAAATTGTCCTAAAACAGCTCCTATAGCAGAATCACTCGCATCACACATTAATTCAAATGGGAGGGTCCAATCGGGTGCTACCATGATAGGTGCATGGATCAATTTGTCTTTCAAGATGTTGAAAGCATGAAGGCATTCAATTGAAAATTCAAAAGTCACTTCTTTCTGAAGCAAGTAGATAATGGCTTGGCAATTTTTGAGAAATCCTTAATAAACCTCCTATAGAATCCGACATGTCCTAAGAAACTTCTCAAAGAATGAACAGATGTTGGGGGTGGCAATTTTTCAATTGCCTCCACCTTGGCCTTGTCGACTTCTATACCTCTTTGAGAGATCTTGTGGCCAAGTACTATGCCTTCTTGCACCATAAAATGACATTTCTCCCAATTCAACACAAGATGTGTTTCTTCGCATCTAGTAAGAACCTGTTCCAGATTATTCAAACATGCATCAAACGAAGAACCGAAAACTGAAAAATCATCCATAAAGATCTCAATAAAATTTTCAACCATATCAGAAAATATAGACATAATGATCGCTGAAAGGTTGCTGGGGCATTGCATAACCCAAAGGGCATCCTTTGGTATGCAAAGGGACCATGGGCAAGTAAAAGTGGTCTTTTCTTGGTCTTCTGGTGCAATTGGTATCTGGTTGTACCCTGAATATCCATCCAAGAAACAATAATACTCATGCCYRGCTAGCCTCTCTAACATTTGGTCCATAAATGGGAGAGGGAAATGGTCCTTCCGGGTGGCTTCATTTAATTTTCTATAGTCAATACACACACGCCATCCAGTGACGGTTCTAGTAGGGATGAGTTCATTTTTCTCATTTGGAACAACAGTCATACCCCCTTTTTTGGGCACAACTTGGACAGGGCTTACCCAAGAACTATCAGAAATAGGATAAATGATCCTGGCATCTAACAACTTAATTATTTCAGCATTTACCACTTCTTTCATGTTGGGGTTCAGGCGCCTTTGGGGCTGAACAGAAGGCTTGCTGTCCTCTTCCATCAAAATTCTGTGAGTACAAATTGATGGATTAATGCCTTGATATCCTCTACCTTCCAAGCTATAGCATTTTTGTGTTCTCACAGCACTCTTAATAACTTTTCTTTTTGTAAGGGGTTTAGTGCTGCAGAAATTATTACGAGGAGATCTGATGGTTTCTCAAGGAAAGCATACTCTAAATGGGAAGGTAATTGCTTCAATTCAAGGGTGGGGGGTTCTTGGGATGATGGCTTACCTGATGGTCCAAACAATTTGCCTAAGTTCTCTAACTTGAGAAACCCCTTTCCCTGGAATTGAGGCTTATCATTTAGGTATGCTATCATGAGGTTTAATTCTTCATTTTCTCCTTTTTCAAGGTCTCCCTGTTGGAGGCAGAGTTCAAGAGGATCAACTAATCTACTTACCTAGAAGCATTCATCAATTGTCAATTCAATGGCATCAATCATAAAACAAGAATCATCACTAAAGGGTGCATGTTTCATAGCATCAGACATTTTAAAAATAATCTCCTTATCTTGTATCCTAAGGCTGAGTTGTCMTTGTTGGACATCAATCATTGCTTTCCCGGTAGCCAGGAAAGGTCTCCCTAAGATCAGTGGGACTTCAACATCTTCTTGCATGTCTAACACAATGAAATCAACTGGAAAAATGAATTTGTCAACTTTAACTAAAACATCTTCTATGATCCCCCTAGGATGTCTAATGGATCTATCAGCCAATTGTAATGCCACTCTAGTGGGTTGGGGATCATTCAATCCCAATTTCTTGAAGATAGAATATGGCATTAAATTGATGCTAGCTCCCAGGTCACATAAAGCTTTTTCAATTTTTAGACTGCCTATAGTACAAGGAATAGTGAAACTCCCTGGATCTTTAAGTTTCTGAGGCAGCTTGTTCAAAAGGATAGCAGAACATTCCTCATTTAAAGCAACTGTAGCCACATCTCCCAGTTTCCTTTTGTTTGCCAATAATTCTTTCAAAAACCTTGCATAGTGTGGCATTTGGGCTAAAGCATCAGCAAAAGGAATATTAATGTGTAAACTTTTAAAAATTTCAAGAAACTTACAAAATTCCTTCTCCAATTTCTGTTGCTTCAGCCAGTTAGGGAATGGAACTTGTGGCTGTTGGTGCATCCCTTGTTGTGCTTCTGGTTGTTCCTTCTTCTGTTGTCTAGTCCCAAGACTTGTTTCTGTCTTGGGTTCAGCCCAATTCTTCTTCTCTACCTCGGGCAACTCTTTTCCACTTCTTAAGGTAATAGCTTGCACCTGCTCTCGTGGATTCACTTCAGTGTTGCTTGGAAGAGTTCTCGGTATTCTGGAAGAGATTAATTGTGCCAATTGCCCCACTTGGTTTTCCAGGTTTTTGATTGAGGCTTCTTGGTTCTAGAACCTGGTTTCCGCACTTGCTATATTTTGTCATCAGTTCCTCCAAAATGGACTTTGGTTCGGGCTGATGATAAGTCTGGTGGAAAGGCTTTGAAGTATGCTGACTTGGCCAGGACTGATTTGAATGTCCCCTCCATTCTAGGTGAAAGGTATGGTGACTTTCGTAACCTTGCTGTCTTGACGAATTGCTGACATAGTCGACTTGTTCAGTAGATGGCCTGAACTGATTACCAACTTGGCAGTCAGTGCTGATGTGGCCTCCCCCACACAATTCATAAGTAAGAGGCTGCACATGCATGGCAGCTATCTGCATTTCATCAATTTTCTTACTGAGTGCTCCTATTTGTGCAGATAGTGCCGTATAAGTATCAAAATTATGCAGGCCTTGCTGCTTCCTAGTTTGAGTCCTTTCAGAATGCCATTGATAGTTGTTGGCTGCCATTTCCTCAATA